AGTTGTGATACGTTGTGACATGATTTGCTTGGACTATTTCTTGGTCATTTGGTTGGTTGTAGTTGGTTCATTTCTCGATTTAATCATATTTCGTGTTTGATGTTTGTTTTGGAGATGGAACCGAGACTTGAATGGCAAGGTGCACATGTTATAGCCATGCTTGATGTTTTCGTGTATGAACTTTACTATTGATCTGCCATTGATGCGGGTGCGACAAGAGCCGACTTGTGCTAACGGCGATCCCCTCGTCCTCGCTTGATATTAGTAGGTTTACTTGCTGAGTCTCCCCAACTCATCCCCCGTTGTTTCCTTTTCAGGTCCGAAGAATAGCGTCTCCCCCAACCCGGTTCGACAACCTCGTGGAAATGAGAGCCGAAGTACTCACCGTGATAGATGCCCGAAAAGGTCGAGCCTACCGCCGGATCACGATGTATGTGATGGTCGATGAGGGCCTAACGGACTTGGTGCCTTACCCGTAGCATGGCATGGCTACACTGACGGAGAATGGGTTGGACCCCTATGTGGGTTCAATGGACCTTTTGGCGGTGTAGGCAGGCCGGCTCCGGAGCATGCCATGGGTGGGGTGTAGATCAGCCATGCGAACGGGAAACGGGGAGGAGATGTGGATGGAGTCAGAAGCGAGAAGACGAAGTAGAGGGGATAGGATCACCCAAACTGAGTTTTGCTATTCATAGTCGGCTAGGAACGGATGAGCCTCTAGTATATGCATGTGAAATATGTGTTGTTTGCCATGGCCCGAAGGGCTTGTTGAAATATGTTTGCATGCACTGTAAACTTAAGGTTTGCTCATGATGCTGCTTGTCTAAATTTCGCTGTTGTTCTAAATGTGATTGTCCCGAAATTATGTTTCCGTTTGTGTGTAAAGAAAGATAACAATGAACGGGACATCACGTTTATGACCCCGAGGTGGGGGCGTTACACTAGGACAATTTGGGTTACAAAGACGAGTGAAGACAATGAAAGATTATTGATGTTTTGAATATTAGCATCCAAGTGGAAGATTGATGAAGTTGTGAAGTTTGAGAAAAGTGATATTAAAGCTCAAAGCTTTTACTGCAAATGGCATACATGTAATTTTTATCATAAGTATGTATGCCCTAGACTCTTGCTATATATTGGGGCAATATCTTTTGTAGTTGTAATCTTAAAGTTAGTAATTATGATATTGATACTAATAGTGAAGTGATTGCCTAGTACGACATTGTGATTTTTCCCATTCTGATTTTGAAAGAATTTTCCACATAAAAAATTCATGTGTCTTCTTCTCTGTTTTTTCTCCTCAACAATTCGCGTTCCTAACAAGTGGGGCAGAAGTCCACAAGAAAGCATAGACTAAATTTGGAAGCAAGTCCTGACAATGAATGCAGTTATTGAGGATGAGAAAGTTTAGATTCTTTCCTTTCAAAGCACGATGGTTAGAGGATGAGTTTCTTTTTGAGAAGAAAGGAATGCTTTGATGAAGAAGTCTACTGAGGAAGGAATAGTGAAAGTGGAGAGAAACGATGAAAATTTGCTTGATATGCTAGGAGTAGAACTAAGACCAAATTAAGAGAAAGCTACGGGACATGTCAGGTAATTCACTTTATTCTTGTCTTTGCATTCTATTTTCATTTTGTATTAACCTAAGTTTGTGTTGTCATTTTAGCAATTCGTGTCTTTTGCTTTTAAAGTTTTTAAATTTTATTTGGTTGTAATGTTGAATAGAATTATAAAACATTTTTACATCCACGACCGTTCATGATTGTTAAGTGTGAGATCACCTTGCCATGCACTTAGTAGGGGTGAGCGGTTCCAAGTTTCGTATAGGTTCCACTTGGAATATGTTCGTTGGAACATGTTCCTTATTTTTTGGAATTTGAAACTTACCTTGCATACCTTGGAACCTGGAACCTACCTAGTCACAGGTTTCGGGATCGGTTCTACGGTCTACCTCGGGTTCCACTTTTAATATTTATTGAACGATTGTAGTGAATCATCACCTTTAATGATCATCACATGCTGCTACAATCCACTGAGCATAACTTATATTTAGACACACGAAGAATATGAAACATTAATAAAGTAAAAGTCTCAATCATAAAATGGAAGCTTAGACTAGTGGTTCCAAATTATACCCTCATCATTAGACACCATGAATTACCGCAGGATCGTGCGGAGACATAGATCAAGAAAAATACAAAAACTTGTTTCAAGTTCCGGATTTTAGATTTCAAGTTCTAAGTAAGTAGAACTTAGAACCTACCCGTCGCAACAGATTCCTCAATTTTTAGAACTTGGAACCTGTCCTATATACCCTAGAACTTGGAACCGGCCAGGTTTCCACCGGTCTAGTTCTCAGGTCCAGGTTCTACCCTGAAACCATACTCATCCCTAGCACTTAGTCTCGTCTGGTTCAATGCAATCTGATTCTTCAAGGTATAAGATTCCAATTCCACAATTTTCATGTGTGGAGAAAAATTTGAGTTCGGATATGGATTCTACATGAAATAAATTTACTCATAAAATGTAAAATCATATTATCTAGCTAAAGTTAGGATTGGGATATCATTCCACTTTTTATAAGCATTACACTATGAAAAACTCAATTCCACCACTGACCGCCGTCGCGGCGTCCTCCACCGCCATTGGTCTCTAGCCTCCGCCACTAATTGCCAGAAAAGGTAAGTTGGCAACTTAAATCTGGCATCGGTCATCGGAGGTGGTTGTAGGCTATTGGACTTCGCCACAAGCCACCAGGCTTTGTGTAGGTAGCTAGATTTTTCCATTGGTACTAAGTTGCCGATCGCTAGAATTTGCCTTTGGTTGCGGATGCATTAGAAGTCGTTAATAACAAGTATTTTTTTCTTGCTTTTGACCAAAATTTTTACAATCCGAACAATTGAAAAGGAAAGAATGATGGAATCCATTTGAGAGTTCCTTGTCATGGAACCAATGGAGACTTTTTTAGTGAATTTGGGATTTATGATACAAAATATGTGGCATTTCTCCTATTTAGCCCTCAGGTTACCCAAAGATCAAACTATGAACTTTGAACTGTTTGCCTTCCTTGTATGCTCTTTATATACATGTGGCTTATGGGGTTTATATGATTTTTATATACACATGTTTGCCTTCACCTATTAACTTAAGCATTTAGACTAGACTTTTTATCATGATATCAAAACCATATTTTGCCCTAATTTATTTCACATGTACATTCCCTGTTCATCATATTACACATGCCGTTTCTAATTTGGCTTGCATATGAGAGGGGTTATTAAAGTATTCCACATCGCTTATCTATGATGTTCATATATTTTTTATATACGTGTGGTTTCCATCTATCTATTAACTGAATTTTTTGGGTTTTCGTTTCCAACATGAATAAAGATCACTAAAAGAGAAAGTAATCAAAAGCATGAAAGTATGGTACAAAAATTAAGGCTAGGCCTTCTTTGTATTTGTAAGTCCCTATTAGTACTTTCTACAAAGCTTATCAGGGGCTTGTCTTCATGGACATGTGGTTCATGAGTCTTTTTTATTTTCCTTCGAACTCATGATCGCTAAGAGAATGTATACGCCCTTATTTATGGACTACCACAATCAGGTGGCCTCAACTCAGAAAGATACCAAGAAGAAAATCAAAAGCCAAGAGGATTTCTCTCTTCAAGAAAGTAGTTTATGAATCATTTTTATTATTGATATAAAGAAATCAATCCTTCACTATTCAATAATGTGATTAACATACGGGGCTGAAATCTATTTTTGAATTTCAAATTCCATTGCATTCTAATTGTTTGGTGACACAAGATATAAGTCTTACGTTCTTACCATTACTCTCCACTAATTGGATTCTCAATGTTGGGAGCATGTAGCAGAAGTCCGATACCTTCACCTAGAAAGATTACCAAGAAGGAGCTCAAGTCCGAGTCCGTCAACATATCCAGTTGAACCCACCTTTATTTAAAAGCTTAAACCAATGAGTTATGAGCCAATTAGGATATGTTAATTGCTCGACACCACACCAATTTTCTGATGTGGGACTTCTCTAACATAACTCATACAAACATCTCAGCAATTTTTGCGAAGCAAGCGATCGAATGATAAAATTAACAGAACAAGAAAATAAATCGTACGCTTGATTTATGTGGTTCTGTCGTAGTGACTTACCTCCACGGGGATAATAACAACGAATTCTACTATAGATCAAGTAATATGGCGGAGATTACAATCACACTTGAGTCACTAAAAAACTCTTAGTGTTTTCCAAAACTCCAATTACATCCAATAACTCATACAGTATTTGGCTCATAATTCCTCATGAAATGATATCTCAATCTCACGAAAAAATTATACAAATCTTAAACTAACAAGGTTTAATTGGTTTTAACACTTGAAATTCTTGGTGTAATTCATTGCTCGAAGACCCACTACCAAGCACCCAGAACCTATGGACGTCGCACGGAAATTTGGCACTCACGGCACTCTCTATGAAAAACGGCGCTTCAAGGAATCTTCTTGCGGCAACAATAGCGCACCCTCAGTTCACGGTGTCACTTGCAAAACACATGCAAGCTCAACTCTCCGAAACAAGCCCTTAAACAAATAAATATTGTATAGCACCGCCAAGGGAGTCTGACTCCAATTGGTAAAATTGGAAATTGCCATATCCAAGACAGTCAAAGTCTTGAGTGCAACTGCAACGCCCATTAGGAAAGTCACTTTCCGTAATTTTTTTTCTTTTTCTTGTTTTGCTTGAAATCCTCATCTCGGTCAGATTTCGTTCGCAGGCTCAAATTCGAGACATATCTTAATACTCAGGATGATGCACATGCGCTTTAGCCAGCGACTCATAAATACCAAACGAAGACTCAAAAATTTTCAAGTATAAATAGCGGAGCGCCTCCGTTTCCGATCCATTTTCTGAAAAGGTCAAGCTTTCTTGGCTCTCTCTTACACTTTGCACACCCAAAATACAAAATTTTTCGTCATTCACGAACATGAGGGACTTGCAAAGACGCCAACTGGGAGCGGGGAACAAAACCCTCCTTGAGGCCACCGCGGTCATGAAGAATCTGCGCACTCCGAAGGCAAATCTGGCTAAGATCGAACTTCTCGTGTGCCTCACAGCCATTTTACTAATCTTGCTCAACATCTTCGGCTCGTCAAGGTGTCGGTGCAACGACCGGAAGCTCAGGATGCTGTTATGGGCAGCATACACCCTCTCGAGCTACCTCATCGCATACACGCTTGGTCTCATAACCGAAGCGTCATTCTGAAACGAGCTGTTACCAGTTTGGGCCATTTTCTTGATGATCTTCTTTGGGAGCTCGGACTCCTACTCCGTCCACAGCCTCGAGGACTGCGAGCGGTGGAAGAACTATGGTTGGCAATATCTGATCAAGTTCACCGGGGTAATCATTTTGTTGTTCATCTATGGGATCACGTTGTGGATGATTTCGGTGCTATTTATTCTAGGCCTAACGGTGCCGCTCAAGGTCAGTAATAGAGCAGTATCTCTCCTTATTGCGAGTGGGTATGGCCGACAGAAGAACACCAAATTGATCGCTGACTACATGAGCTCTGAGCACCAGTCGTCGAACGGCGATTTCGACCCTAGCCAGATGAGAGGGTACAACTATGTTGTGAAAGTGGGAAAGACAAGTTCAACGTCATTAAAGAAGTTGAAAGAAAGAGAAACTGCAGCACAAGGGGAACCGCCGAACTACCGCGAGTCATTGGAGATCACTGACAGAGTCGTCACAATCGAGAAGGTGTGGAAATGCCAAGGATGGCTTTTGAGATCGGGAGGTGGGGACGAAGACAGTAAGCTCAAGGATATTTGCCTCTCGTTTTCGCTCTATAAGCTTCTTTGTTTAAGATTTAGCGGCCATTCATTGCCCAAACAAGCTCACGAAAAGTTGTGGAAGTTGATTCAGCACTTGTATGACGAAGGAAATGGCTACGAGCGAGCATTTAGGGTCGTTGAGCTAGAGCTTTCCTTTCTTTTCGATTCTTTCTACACCAAATACCCGATCATCTTCCTGCCGACCGGTTGGAAACTAAAGGTTCTAGAGCTCTTGCTTTTGGTCATTGGTTCTCTGCTGACGATTGGACTTTGTTTCAAGTACAACTCGAATAGACATGGAGATGAACTTCAACTAGCTACTCCGGGCGGGTTGAGCATCGACGTTCTCGTCACAGCACTAATTCTAATAGTATTTACATGTGGGGAGCTTGTGCAGTTTTTCTTCATGGCCTTCTCGGAGTGGGCAAAAGTGTCATTGCTATGCACGTACGTACAAACTCCCTCGTGGCAAGAGGAGAACAAATGGAAGGAGAAGCTGATAGGACGAATGTGCCGGACGCAATTACTGAACCCTTGGGAAAGGAAACTTCGCCAATACTCGCTTCTCGAGTCGTATGATTACACCCCTCGGAAGTGGCTATACAATCCCTTCACAGTTATGTTTATCGACCTTATAAGGGACGGTCAAAAACAAAGCGAGCCCACCGAATTGTCCTCAGAAGTGAAAAAAGCCGTTTTCCATTCTTTAATGTCGAATCCCGAGGCACTGAAGAATGGAGAAGCTTCTTTGAGACGAAACGAAGTGGATGGTAAGCTCTCGTGGGCATGTAGGCTCGAGACACAGACTCAAGTCATAATTGTGTGGCATATCGCCACAAGTATTTTCGAGCATAAGGTGCCGGTTGCAGATCCGATTTCATATTCGAACTTCCTTGTGGCGACCAGCTTATCCAAATATCTCGCTTACTTGATAACGTTTTGTCCGAAGTTATTACCTGATCACCCTTACGATTCAGAGTATGCTTTCAACAAAATCATTATCGAAACAAGAGGCTTGCTCAAAGGCCGCAAGACAACTGAAGAAAGAATCCAAAAATTGAACAGGATCGGTAAGACAATGGATAATAACGGTAGGGTGATAATCCAGGGCACGCTATTAGGGCAGCAATTGCTAAAAGAAGAGAAAGGTCCGAAATTCATTTGGAAGGTATTGGCCGAGTTTTGGGCGGAACTTATGGTGTATGTGGCTCCATCGGACAATGAGAAAGCACACGCGGAGCACTTGAAGATGGGTGGGGAGTTCATAACTCACTTGTGGGCTTTGGTCTCTCATGCCGGCATCAAGCGAGAACCTCCTGTTAAGTGACCTGCTCTCAACAGAAGTTGAAGCTGGCCCAATTGATTGTGATATTGCATTGTGGATGGGACCCTTAATGTGTCTCCTTTGAGATTAGTCAAGACAAAAATTCAGATACTCTGTTATAAAAAAAAAGAAGTAAAAAGAAGCAAGTGGCTAGTATTATATTTGAGTGGTTTTCCTATGTACAAGTCTATAAATAAGAGGGTCCAATGATGGCTCTGTACATCTTGTTTACAGTCTTGCCGACGTCGGCCAATGAAATGAGTCGAAGAACAGTGCGTAAGAAAAGCATCTTAGGTTGTACATTACATATTCGCCATCTCCTGACATGTCTCCATCAAATGCCCCGTACATTTAATGAAAAATAATCATATACAATTGGGCACACCATATAAAATACCCACCAAATCCTACAATGCATATCTGTCGACCCCTGTATTTATACCAACAAGCCAAGCGTGCATCTTTGTAAAAATAAAAGTAAACTACAAATAATAGAAAAGGAACAAAAAAAAATGAAATATTAGTAAATCAAATAAAATAAGTAAATAAAGAGAGAAAGAACCAACTCAATTAGGCCCGGAACCTGTAAACGAGGAATGCGAAACAAAATCGGTGCACGCGGTCGACCGTGAAAAGGAAAATTTTCACTCTGCGCCGAGGGGAGGGACAATGAACGCATCACAGAGAACCGCTTATGAAAATAGGCCGCGGAGAGAATACCGAGAATATTCGAGAGTAGAGAGACGCTCACAAGAACCGATCCTCAGCTTTTTCCAGCGGTCCCGTCGTCGCCGCGAAGGCGCTCTATTCTCTCTTTCTTCACAGCAGAGAATTTTGAAGTGATAGAGGTTCCATTTATTTTGCGAAAAATGAATAATTTAGAAAATATTTTCTAAAAAATCATGACTTGTATCGTTTGAGATAATTAGTTAATGGAAATGTTTTAATCATTGACAATAATTTATATCTAAATATTTTTGTGAGCGATAAAAATATTTTTTATTTATTCATTTTTGTAAGCGATACAAGCGATCATTTTTTAGAAAATATTTTATAAATCATTCATTTTTTTTTAAACAAACGCACCCTAAACCTCACTTGAGAATCCTTCACTGGCCTTGATTTCATTGGTCGACATCCGTAAGAGCTTCAATCGTTTATACAAAGTGTTTGTCACGGCTTTAGTACCGTTGATAAACCGGGTAATCTTCTTGCTCTTTTATGCCCTGTTTTGATAAGAATAAGATCCGAGATGTCATGTTTTAGGTTAGTATAAAATCTGCTCCATTCGAGTTTGTGTAAGTGATTACGTACATCATGCACTGTTTTCGTAATTAAGTCACACGAGCTCCTACCAGCACCATGCATCTCCTTGGGTAGTTAACTCATCGCCAATATTGCCAGTATCGCCTATGAGGCGGAATTGCACCTTGGGAATGTCTAACTCATCACCAAGGCAACTGCGTTGGCCATGAGGTGGGAATTGTACCTTGGAGCTATCTTTAAAGCCTGTATTTTATTGGTAGCTCGGGCTTAGACCCATGAATAGCTACTGTTATAAAAATATATATATATATATATATTCTCTTTCTCCTACAATTGAGAAATGCAAAAGAGAGATGCGATGTGCTAATTATAGCGGAATCACCTGCTAGACATAGCGTTAGTTTAAGGGTGATGCATGCGTGGGCGAGTGATTTCGGGAATGGGGACTTTTCTAGGTAATGTGTATAGATGGATGGGCATGTGTGTGGGATGGTTGTCGTTGGGTAAATTGCAAAATATAGGATTGAATACAATCACCACCAAGGTATAAAGGATGCGCCACCAACTAAGGATGATGATTGGGATGGGCGAAGTTCACCACCAAGGCTTAAAGGTCAAGCCACTCGCCAAGGATACATGACTTCAGGATAGGAGAAGCTCACCACAGGACCTAAAGGAAAACCACTAGCCGAGGATAAAACGCTTACTAAATCCACTCTTTAAGGATAAAAAAAACCAAAATATGAGTTATCCCCTCTCTATAGATATTTACTCATACATATGTATTTTCATTCATCAAAGTCTTATCTGCGTTACAATAGAGGACAATCCTCTTTTTATAGAGGGACTAAGACATAGGAAATCACCAAACATTAAAGAGATATGGGAACTACTTAAATATTTAAGGACTCAGAAACTAAAAAGGAATTAAAGTCCTAGAAACTAGAAAACATATAGAGACTTGTAATCTTGACTCTTCAGCCCTTGCGGTTCACTTTCCAAAATTCGTCTACCAACTTTGAGTAGAGGATAACCATCTCAATAAATTAGCAGATGTCATAGGAAATTGCTTAGATCAACCTACCATCGATATGTTATTGATCCGCATCGAAATCAGCAACTAATCTTAGTGAAACGATACTGAATTGACTAAGTCAAGAATTGACAATAACTTGGTAGTTAATTAGCATCTTCATACTGGATCCACTGAAGCAAGTTGTGACCAAAATCAGCTTTGGCTTGGATGAACATCGATTGTGCTATGCTCATCGATGGAATCAAGTTGGAACTTATGGAAAATTCCACAGAATTGGATGCTCCCGCATCAAAGGGTCAACCAGGATAGAAACATTGTGTCTCGATTTTCTTTTCTCGCTTTTACTCTCTATTTCCTTGCGATTGTGCGCTGGATCCCAATACTATCTAACTCTTCGCTGATGTATAGCACTGAAATTACCAAGAGCCGCCCTACATCAGCTTAATTTGTAATAGCAAGATCATGAGAGGAGCTTGTAAAATTCGCACATCAAACGACGTGAGCCCGCTTCACAAATAACTTGAATTTATTTATTCATTTCTTCTATGAGAGCATTCGCCCCTGGCCCCCCATGTCTAAACTGAAGCGAAAGATTTGGTCTTAGAAGTAGAGATTATAATTTCTCTCCGTGAGTGCGTATAATACAGGCTTACATGGTAAACCTCCATGAATATACGATGAAAAGCAATAGATCATCGGTAAATAAGAAAACTGGAGTGTGATAAATGCCGTATAATAAGATATAATCTAAAAGAAAAACGATGGCATATTGTAGCTAGATTGTACACATCTGGATTTCCGGCTGCATTCCAAGTATGGTCCAACAGAAAATGCCAACACCTTCTGTTTTCGACTTCAGGCTCCTTTGGTTCAGCTTCAGTCAAGAAGTCTTGGTGTTCGAAGAAAATTGGACTCTAGTTCAACAAAAAGCCCAAAGTGATGAGTACAAATGCGCATAGAATCTTCATTGAAAAAAGTTCATGTCAGCGCCGGCCGTTCTACATGGTATGGCTGACGTTTACGTCAGCAATTTCCGGTAAAAATTGGCCAAATAAACTCAATTGGCATAAATACAAAAGATTTAGGATTCAATTGACAAAAAAAAATGTTTAGGACTGAATTAACACGATTGCAATATGTTTATGACTTTTTTGGTAATTTTTTCAAATCATATGTTGTTACCATATGGTCAAGGACACCATTTACAATACCCAACAAGTCTTAAAATGCACCTCTCTCTCTCTCTCTCTCTCTCTCTCTCTCTCTCTCTCTCTCTCTCTCTCTCTCTCTCTCTTTAATGCCTATACGTTTTTTTTTTGGTCAGACTATATACCTATACGTTGAGTCCCACCGATTGTGCACATTTTCTCCAACCATATATTTTACATTCTCCTATCATTACACACCAATTGAGTTCAAGCATAGTCTGCATCGATACATCTGCCATAAATTCTCATTATGATGGCCAACACACCGGATTGACTTGAAACAATGGCAATATGCCCCCTTCCTTCTACCTTCCATATTCTCTAGTCCTCATTCCATCTCAGCTCGCGCATCAGCACTATGCGGCTCCACTTCTGCTTGTTATGACCAAAATGGCGTGGATGTTCAGCTATTAATACGCATCGTTGATTGGACCGGTTGGTAGTGGTCCTCAAAATATTCATGTTGAACATTTTCTAGAGCAGTGAGTTGCGTGGGTTTTGGTGGCAGTATTATCATGTCAACGATGTATGTAACAGTCTGAATTTTCGATCATTTTCCCGGGATCTATGAAATGAATATTTTGGCCAATGCACTTATAGTGAGATCTCACCCGGAAATGCGCATTCACGGGATGCTAACCTTAGGGGTAAGGCCATTACGGGACTGAGTTCGCACGACCAAAGAACTCGACCTGGGTCCGATCTTCGACCATATGGATTGACGAGGGAATGTTTTGAGCCAACCGAGACCGGTCTATTTGATTGATCGTGTCCAAAGGGAACTAGTGACAGACCCTCGCAATTACATGACAATTGAGGTCGCCTTGGTTCGAGCAAACTTAAACGTGATTTGACTTAGTGTCGGTCACGGGTCGAGAGCGCGTAATCCCAATGAGCCACCCGTTAGCAAGAGATAAGCTAAAGTCGCGATTGTTCGATTTTAGTCATCTCTTGGAATTCGGGCTCGGGAATCGAGAATTTTGAAAGTGACAATTTTGAGCGGCCGATAACGTTTTTGGCTTGGCCAACCTTGGGGCCACCCATTTCTGCAAAAAAATGGATTTCAGTTTGGGGCCGGAAAAAAATTACGATTTTGCCCCTCTGGTCACCGATGTCGATTTTGAGGCCGTATGAGATTATTTTTCTAGGCCGATGCCATTTTAGGGTGGCCACGCATATTTGGAGTGGATACGGTCAAAAATTGGAATTTTGGCTCGGAAGTGAAAAATAATATTATTTTATTCCCCAGGACTTTGCAGTTGATTTTCGAGGGCTTAAGAGGCTATTTTCGCGATTCCGACGCCATATTATGTTGGCCACACCCATTTGGGGTTGGTATAGACAAAAATTGGAATTTCGCCCCGGGACCGGAAAAATGACCATTTTGCCCCTGGGCTATTTTTGAGCTCCGAATTTTTGGGATAATTTTGGATAAATGAAATCTGATTTTTCCAGCTCAATTATTGAGGCAAATGACCTTAATGCCCATCAAT